TAAAATAAAAATAAAATAAATATTGAAGCACATCAAAATTAAATGCAAGTAAATAAAATACTTATTTCCAACCAAAATTACAACATGCATTCAAAAAATAAAAGAAAAAAAATCAAAATAAAATTGTAATGTTAACTTTATTCATTCAAAAATAACTTATCCTAAATATATATATATATATATAATTTTCTATTATATTAGGTAGATTCACTTATAAAAATTTTAAATTATATATTTATACCTATTAGTAAAGTAATTTATGTAGATATTGTCATTGATTCCAAATTTCTATCAAATTTTATACAACATTTTAAGCTATTCAAATTAATTTTTATTAAAAAAATTCTAAAATATTTTGATTGCTTTATAAAAAATTATATTACAAAATTCTATTATATTTATTATAAATCATATTAAAAAAATATTCATAATCTAATATAATATAAATTATAGATTAAAAAAATAATTACTATAATTTTAAATTTTATTGTTAAAATTCTTAGTAATGCTACTCTCAAATAATAACTATTGTTAAATGGGATGAATCTTGTACATGTTATGCACACACAAGGTTTAGATAAAATAAGAAAATTTAATTCTAAATTTGATTGCTACTAAGTACATTATGAATATGTAAATTTCAAACACTCTTGAATTATCCTTTATTAACTTATGCACAATTTATTGATCTTTAAATTTTTTGAATGATTTAACTTTATTTTATATTTCATATATGTTTGGTATTGCTATAATTGTATAAAATACTATTCATTGTGATTTAGAATTATGCATAGTATAAAAGTGGTTGAAAAAGAATTATAATTAATCTTACATATTTTTAAATGAAAAATATATTTCTATTTTCTAATTTAACTATCTTATTATTTTCTCACAAATATGTAAGAGTGTCTAGTTTTATGGTTCTGATATTAGCTAAAAATTTGTTTATTATTCTATTCATTCTTTGTAGTGATATGTAGAAACAAAAACTCAGCAATATATGTATGTATCAATAAAGATTAAATTAATTAGATTTGATTAAGACTAATTTAATTTTTATACTTAATAATATAATTAAAATAATAAATATTTTTTCTATTGGATAGAGAATATAATATCTAAAATAAATTAACTAATAATAAAAAAGTTATTTCTTAAGCTTTCTAAATGTTTAAGAACCTTTCAAAACCAACTTACTAAAAAAAACTTTCACTTTCCTCTTATACATTACTATTGATACCATAGTAATTAAAAACAATATAAAACCATAACACCTAATTTCTATTAATTGCTAACTTTACTAAAACATTGTAGTGTATATCATCTTTATAGTTTTTTAATATAAGAATTTCAAATCTTATTTCACCTTATAGAAAAAAGCCATTAAATCTTTGCAACACCTAATCTCAAATAGAAATCAAAATCCACAAATAAACTCTAGTGTATTTTAGAATAAAATAACAAAAGATTATATATATATATATATATATATATATATATATATATTGTATGAATTTTTAACATAAAAAATCTTTAAAAAAATCAATAATAAAAAGAAACAAAAATTATAATTACAATCATATCTTAACATTTACATTTTTAGCATGTTTATAATTTTGTATCATAAATGCACCTGATAAATACAAATGTTTTGTAAAAAAACATATGTTAAAATTTATCAAGATTTTTATAATACACTATAAATTCACTAAAATTGTTCTACTATTTAGATGTTATAGTATTTATGGTCCAAAATTTTTATTAGTGTATATTTTTTTAAATTATAATTGAGATGTAAATTTTACTTATTTTTGGTTATAAAAATAATACAATTTACAAGAAAGTATTCTTTAAATTTTAATTAATTCTCTTTAATATTTTATATCTTTGAGGCAGTCATAAAAAATAATTAAAAAATATATGTATAAAATTTAATATCTTATTTAATAACATAATTGTCTCAATAAAACAAAATAAATAAATAAATAAATAATTTTCTTTTATGTTAATCCTCATGTATGCAAAATTATTATGTATATTATTATAAATTTATTATTTGAATCTCAAAATTATAAATATTTTCAAAATAAAATAAAATATATAATTAATTATTTAAATATAAAATTTATAATTTTTTAATGATAAATCCTAAAAGTAAAATCATATATATTATATTATTCATTTTTAGACATTAAATTAAGTTTTTGATTGCATTAATAATTAATATTGATACAAAAAAAATAGTGAATATTTTTTTGTATTGTTTAGTTAATTACTATATCCTTCCTTAATAATTTAATAATTAAAATATAATTGTCAAAATATGCCAAGTTAAATTTATTATTCAATTTTTTCTTGGATTAAAAGTACTAACTAAGACTTGATTATTTAGGTAATAATTATTTATTTTAGTAATATTTAATAATTTATTTTTATATTCAATATTTTGAAAAATAATTAGATTTTTTAATGATTTTTTTTATACAAATAGATTTATATTATAGAAATCTATACTTTGAAAGTGTGTAAGAAATGAAGGGATCTGTTAGCTAAACAACATTTTTTTATTACATAGAGACCTTTCTTCTATACCATAGACATATTCTTTGCTACACCACAATATAATACTATCATAAGTTTTTCAAAAAGCTAAACACTAATCAAGCTAAAATGTATAAAAATAGAAATAAAAAATAATAATCCTCAACATAGAATGATTAGCAATACAAATGGTTATGGAAGCAAACTATACAAACAGTATAAGAAAATCGTCTACCTAGCCAAATTTCTACATAGACACTTTCTTTTATATATTTATTTTGTATAGCTTTTGTATTGCTAATAATCTTGTGTTGTAGACTATAGTTGTTGTTTTTTGTAGTTTTTTTCATATCTTTTAGTATCAATATTATTTGGCTTGTTAAAAAATTTGTAGTAGTGTTATATTATTGTTGTTGTACAAGTGGTACCCATGCAAAAATAAAAAAGATATCTATACAATAAAAAAAAGATGTCTACCTACTAGTTCTCTAAAACAAATATCATATGATTTTTTTTAATACCATCCAATATTTTCAATAACTTATAATATATTTATACTATTTTTAATTTATATAAAATATTTTTAAATATTGATTTTTTTTATAATGATAACATTCATTTATTTAAGATTATTCCATTCTATCTTATTACAACATCCACCTTTAAGAAAATCTTTTTTAATCAATATTTTAAAAGTCTTAGTACAAAAGACTTAGTTTATTACTTTATTGTAATTAAAAAGGAGATTAGATTTTCTTTTTAAGAAGCTTAATATTGATATCAAAGTAATAAAATTAAAATTATAAATTATATATGGCTTCTTTAAAATTATTAAATATTAGACTACAAAAGATTGGTATAGTAAATAAATAGAAAATTCTATTGATCAAGAAAAAAAAGTAAAACTATGTGAATATAATGTATTCACCACCTAATAAATAAGAATACAAGAGTATTAACAATTGCAATTAAATGAGCCTTGAGTTTGAGATCTTATACAACTAGTTTATTTTCTAACTACATAGAATCCTTAGAGTGAATATACTAACAACTAGTCTAATCAAAGAGGTTCAATTGATGTGTAGACACGTATCTTATTAGGCCACATGATAGCTTTACAGGCTAGGACAACTAAGATGGTCAAATGGTAATACCACCAATATGTGGTATCTATAACTTTTTAACCGGTAGTACAATACTAATTGTTTATATATCTTATAAGAGTCATCTATTCTATTAACAATTAGATCTATTTAATTTTTTTTGTGAAGTAACTTTAATTAGTTTCTTTCTTGAGAAACTTTGGTATGTAAATTTTTAAAAATTCTTATATTATATCTTAATTTTGTATAATAAAAAAATAAATTATAATTTATTACATTTATAATAGAAAATTTAAATAAAATTAATAAAATATTTTAATTAAAAAACATTTATAGAAAATTTTAAATTAAAATTTATTAACAAAAAATATTAATAAAAAAATCCAAGAGCCATTATGCAATCTAAATAATGCACATATGAAGATATAAGAGTTTTATTAATAATATCCATATAAATAAATAAATAAACTTTAATAAAAGTATATGTATATATATATATATACATATATAATTTATTTATAGATAAGCATTAAAAAATTATTTATTAAAATATGAACAAAAAAAAACTAAACATAAATATTCTTTTATTTTTGTAATCAATTTTTATTTTTAGCATATAAATATTTAAGAATATATTTACATCTTAGCTAAATTTTTAAAACTTAAATAAATAACTAAGATAGACAAGAAGTTTTTTAAAAGATGCTTTGAAGGCTTTAATTTAAACAGAGTTATTAAATAGATGTTATTGATACAAAAACATTATGGAGAAGAAGAAATAATATATATATATATATATATATATATATATAATAGATCCTAAAATAATTTATAATAATTAAATTATTAAGTTAAAAAATTATCTTGTTTCGAAATCAATAAGAAATACAATGATTTAAAAACATCAACTATAGAGTCTATTTTAAATAAATATTATTTTTAATTTTTTAATACTTGCATAGAAGAAATGAGGATGTTGTAAAGTCACAAAAAAATTAAGAAAAAACGATAAAATAGAAACAAAACTAATAAGATAATATAGTTAATTGAGGTACTATAGAGAACTGGCCAATTAAATGGAAAATGTATTATAAAAGAAGAATTTTTCTCTTTCATGATAAAATTAAAGAATAAAAATTTAATATTTTTCATCTAATTTTTAAATTTTGAAAAATTCATATATATATATATATATATAGGAATGATAAAACAACCCGAATTTTTATTAAATCGACCCAGTTCCTTCCATTCCCCATGTTCCCGGCCTCCGTCCCTTTTCCGGTTCCCAACCCCTAGTCTCCAACCCCGACCTGCCCGTCTCCATTCCCGGCGCCCATCTCTAATCCCCGGGCCTCTTGGGGGGCTCTCGTTTGTCCATCGTCACTGGATCCTTCTTCTACAGAATTCTCCTATCAATTCATTGTAGTACGCCGTGAGTAGCTTCTAATAAAACCCTCCATATCGGGTACACCCTCTCACATTCAGCCTAAACGATTAACACCCTGCATTTGTGATTGTCTTTGTAACGGATTCCCTGAGTAAATAGCATACTAAATGTCGTTGATAGCATACTAAATGTCTTTAGAATAATGAATAATTGATTAATTAAGATTGTTCTATTCAAGTAGACTGGCTTTGACAACTTCTTTATTGGAGTGCTGCACTGTGTAGCGAGGATCTCTTTTCGGGCTGAGCTCATTCTTTTGATGGAGCGTTAGTTCTTAGTCTCTTTCGGCTCGAGGTGGTCAACTTGAGAATTTAGAGAATGAATCAGTGGATTGTCATCTGTACGTCTGTGCAACTGAAAGCTGGAGTTTGACAATCTGAAGAGGTTCCAATAATTTTGAGGCTCAAGCAACGCAATCCCCTGCAATCTCTTGAAGAAGTAACTCTCAGTCCAAGCCCAGGAGCGTTCAATTCCGGGAGCTACAGCATCCTCCAACTCTAACCCACAACAAGCACCAGGTCCTTCTACCTTGTCGACTCCACCCTTTTTTCTACTTTCTCGTCCAGTTTGCAAATCTAACTGAAACAAATTCAATTCTGTGCGCTGCTCCGTGACGTTTCCTAAGAAAAATACTCGAGATCTGAATAAGCTATGAAGGTTGATCTTACGAGAGAAGTCTCGGTCAAATATTGCTTTGTGATACTGTCGACTGATAAAATTTTGCCCGAGATGGCCAGTAAAGAGGTCAATTCCTGACGTTCAATTGATTTTTCTCCGACAGAGATTGTCGAGGCAGAATGTTCAAGGAGAATGTGACGCCACTACGAGGGCTCACAGAGCTAGAACAGCATGTTCGAGGGAGCTAGGTTTGCCTCAGTCCCCCAACCTGCTCCCCGTTTGGGTTCTTGGCTTGTGCCTCGATCCTAGTCACTGGGGTGATTGGTTAAATATTTACGGAGGCCTCCGCTAAAAGAATGCCCCTTGTTTTGGGAAATTTCCAACTCCATCATGTATTTAATCGCTAGATTATCGCTTGCGACGTTTGATAGAGAGGACTCAAGGAGAGGTGTCTCAAGTCTTTGCATGAATCCCCTGTGACTGCTGCAAGTGATTCCTACCCACGAGCATGGAGAGGACGCCGAGGTTCCAGCCGGGGAGCATCTCCTATTCCATTCCGACTCGGCTGCCCCGCCAGAGGTCAGTGGACGGGAGATGGCGCCGGGCGCCGGGAATGGGGACGGGCATGTCGGGGTTGGAGACTAGGGGCTGGAACGGGGACGGAGGCTGGGAACAAGGGGAACAGAAGAAATTGGGTTGATTTAGTAAAAATTTGGATCGCTTTATCATTCCCTTATTTATTTATTTATTTATTTATTTATATATATATAATTAAAAAAATAAAATATATTTTATATGAGCCTAGGATGCTAGATCAAATATGTAAAATTTAGACAAAAAATTAAATTAAATTTTGAAGTTTTAAAAAAATACAATTTTTTAATGATAGAATTAAATTAATAGGTCTTCAACTTATTAATTTGACCTAGAATAATTATTTGAATAAAATCATAATAATAAAAAGAATAACATACATTACAAGAATTTTTTAGTTAATCATTTAATTTCTTAAAATATAATAAAATAATTTATTAATATTTCTTATAAAAATTATGATAAATAATATATTCAAATTTTACTATATTAGCATATTTCAAAATATATTTTAATTATCTTTTTAAAAATAAATTATAATAATTTAGAACGTTTTGGATATTTTCACTATTTCACTTTTTGTCTATAATATCTTTGAAAGTTTATTAAAACAAATCTGGCATCTTTATGAAGTTTTCATAGAAGATTATTTAAAATTTTAAAGTATTGCATTTGTTTCAAAAAGTTATTAGGAATTTATATAATCTAGTAGATTTTTTGTATATAAGAAAAAACAACAAGAGATATCTCAACTGCACCAATGCAAGTTTTAATATGAGCTATGTGTTGTAGTATTTTTAGTCTTATATTAGAATTTTAAAAATCTAGAATTTCCTTCATATTCATGAAATCTTTGTTCTTTGAATTAATAATATGTACACAAAAGCCTTAAATTTTGATTTAAATTTTGTAATACTTTCTTAAAATAAGTAGTATTAATTAATTTTATCAGATAATCAAAGACTACACTAAAAAATAGGTTAAAACTATATGTGGATTTATAATTTAAATTGTAAATTAAATTTACTTCTATAGCTATTAAAATTATATAATATATATATATGTAATTATAATATATATATATATATATATATAATATTATTTATATTATATATACTTTACATATAAATATATATATATATATATATATATATATATATATATATATTATACATGGTAACAAGATGATTAAAAACAATTTAAAATTTAAAGTTTTTAGGAAAAGATCGTATGCTATTTTGGCTATGTTTGTCTAGTTTTAATAAAACTCTAATGTATTTATTTTCTACTATATATATATATATATATATATATATATGTATATATATATATGTATATATGTGTATATATATATGTATATATGTGTATATATATATATATATATATATATATGTATATATGTGTATATATATATATATATATATATATATATATATGTGTATGTGTGTGTGTGTAATCTTTAAAAATATTATTATAAAAAATTATTATTATTATTATTATTATTATTATATTTATTTATTAATTGATTAAAAATAATATGAATTTTAAGAGAATGAAATTAAAAATATAATTTTAAAATTTCTAAATACTTGTATTAATTCTAATTATTAATTTTTTATCTGCATTTATAATTAGACATTAATATAACTTTTAAAGAATAGTTATAATAATTTTTATTTAACTTTTAGATTTAAACCATTTAATATATATTTATAAACCATTTAATATATATTTAAAATGCCTAAATTTTGAAAATATTAGGTAAAAATAATATATTTTTTTATAATATAATTAATTATTAATAATAAATTTATTAAATCCTTACGATATTACTATCTATCTTATTTTTCAAATGTAAAATTTTTAAATTTGTGAAGTTTTTCATTTGATTAAAAATTATAAATAATATTAAATGAGTTGCAAATCAACATTTTCTTAAGTGGTTAATAACATGTTCAGTTATCAAGTTCAAAATTAATATAATTATTGATTTTATTTTTATTTTAGATATTCACAGTATGTATTTATATGTTCATATTTCATAAAAAAATCAATCGCATTTACAACATTAATGGTTATTTACAAATTGCATGAAAATTTAAAGTCCACCTAAAATATAGTTATTTAATGTTAACTAAAACCTTCTAATTTTTTTAATTTATTTTAAAGAAAAAAGAAAAAAAAAAATCATTACTTCTTTCTCAACATCTAATATTTATAGTTAACAATTTTACAACCAAGATTTGAACCACCAATATTTTGGTACGAACTTCTCATCTTCTAGTGGTCTGAGATCCTTGCAGACCAAAAATATCTTCTCCACCTCATCACCAAAGTTGCAACACACTACTCTCTTTCTCCCTCTATATAAATAAATAAATATATATATATATATATATATACACAAACACATATAAATAAATATAGAAGAAATATACAAAGAGAAAGGAAATAAAGTATGGAGGAGAGTGGGACCAAGAATATGGAAAAAGATGGACTGTAATCAAGAAAAGGAGATTGTAAGAATGTTGTCACGTAGTGCAACTTAAGCTTCCTTCCTTTGGAAGCCACATCCACTCTCACTCACTTACCCTCCATTCACTCACTCACTTGCTCACACTCTTACACTCTCATTCACGGTCACTCGTGGTGGTGCGAGCCCACCATGAGATTCCTCCACCATAACCATTCATCTCCCTTTCCTCCTCCCTTTCCTTTGCCTGCCTTTGGCTTCAGGATCCGCATCAATATTGGAATCTAGCGCTAGATGATATATGAGGCTGCCTCCTGCAGCGCTTCCCTTTGCCACAACAAACAAGCAAGCTGCTGCAGTGTGGATTCACGTCTCCTCACGTGGAGCACTGCTTGTGCGTTGCTGACCTTCCACGATGATGCTTGTTGCAGCAAGGATCTGGGAGTGACGTAGTCTGATACTGCTCGGTGCAACACGGCTTTGTTGTCGTTGTTTTTGATATTGTTGGTGCCTTGCTGCTTCAGTCGTGTGGAAACGAGCCTCTTGAGTTTGTGGTTTGTGTGCATCGTTGGCTATTTATGTGGATGGTGATGGAGAGTGACTGAAGGTGCAGATTCAAAGCAAAGTGTTTTTATTGTTTGTGATCGAGCGGGGGGAGAGTGGGAGTTGGATGTTGAGGGAGAGTCATAGATAGGTACAGACGACGAGAAAGAGAATTGAAGGAGTGAGCTGTGAGGACAAGGGATTCGTGGGTACAAGGAGAGAAAGATGCCGGGTCTTCGATACCAGCTTGGCATGAGTCCGTCGACGAATTTCATGGAGCGCTGTAACGTAAATGCTCCTGCGTCGCGGAACATGGGTGGAATCTCGCGCGACTTGGAGATGTTGCAGCCTCAGAACAGGCCGCATGTTTCCGCGCATTGCTCGAAGGCATTGCGACGGGCGCAGCCACAGTGGTTGCAGCAGGGAAGCGACGGACGCAGGCTTAGTTTCAATGAGACCAAGCACTTGAGCAACCCCTCCCTGCTGTCGGACACGAGTTATGAGAACGATGATTTGCAAGCCATGGTGCATGACTTCATCGAGAATGACTGTGTGCAGTACATGGATGGAGTCGATGGCGATGTCGCCTCGCATGGCTTGACGATCAGTGAAAACCTGCAGGTAGAGCTCTAACCATTGGCCTTTGACCTCGGATTTCTCCTCACCGACGTCTTTTAGCAGATGCAGAGCAGCCTTGTGTTTGGCAGATTTTGGTAATAGCAGGAATTGCGGCACCGCACGTGGAGATAGTCCGTCTGGCGTGTCTGCAGGTATCGCGCAGGACGAGGAAAAGTTTGCAATATTAGAAATCTCGAAGAATTCGTGATCTAGTGTCATGAAGGAGCTCCGTTTTCACCCAGTTCACGTGTTGTGCCAGATTTTGACTAAGCCACGCAACTCAGAAGAGCGGGAGCTTCGAGCTGACGTGCAACGTCTATTAATGATGGCAAACGAGGATACCGACCTGCTTTGTGACCCCAACAGCACCAATTACAAAACGGATCGCACCAAGCGGTTCATTGCGAGGCAATTGATGAGCTCTGGTTACAGCGCTTCAGTTTGCAAATCCAAGTGGGTAAACTCCGGCCACGTGCCTGGAGGCGAGTATGAGTACATCGACATTGTTGTGAAGGGAGATCAAGGGATGGAGCGTTTACTGGTGGACATCAACTTTCAAGCACAGTTCGAGATCGCAAGGCCTACCCCACATTACGAAGCAGCTCTGAGGAGTCTTCCCATTGTGTTCGTAGGCAATATAGCCATCCTGGAGCAAGTTCTGGGGCTCATGTCGGAGGCTGCAAAAGCGTCTCTGGAGCAAAATGACATGCATCTGCCACCATGGCGCACACTGGACTATTTGAAGGCCAAGTGGTTGTCAGAACTGGAGAGGAAACTGGATGGTAGTGGTGTTCGCTCAGATCAAAGAGGCTCTTCCAGTCTCCAACGGCGTGACAATAGGGTTGGGATCCACAGCGAGGCTAGGCATTGCCGTGACGATTTCAGGCATGCAAAGATATCGCTGCTTGCCGAGACGAGTGCATCAGGACCATTCGACTTGCAAAGGGCAAGAAACCCCCCTGCAAATTTACTCCTTAGAGCTGCAGCTTAGTTTCTCTCGCTGCGTGAGGCAAACATCAGCGCGCACATTGAGCATGTCTCCTTTTGTTTTCTGTGCCAAGGATGGCGCCCAGCAGCCGATCGACAACCAGTGACACCAACCGCTTTCCAGTTTCAATTTCTTTGAGTTTCCTGCTTCGCAGCAGAGCAATCGATAGGAAGAGCTTGGAACAGGAGTGACGCTTGCATCGGCTCCGAGTGGGATGGGCACCTGACGGTGCAAGCTCGCGAGCTTTATCAGAATCATGTATCTGCCTGAGAGATTCATCTGCATTAGATAGGCTGTCCAACTTGTTTAAAGGCAACCAAATTCAGGCATAGAGAGAAACTTTCCACCGATGCCTTCCCTGACGAGGTTGAGCAAGTTCATATTCCCCCTCCGGCCAAAGCAAAAAAATGTAACGAGAGAGTGTTGAAGAGAGCGAGTCAGAGTTTTGGAGGAGAAGACCTTTGCGAAGGCTTTAAGTTTGTAAGAATTAGACTAGTTTTGCAGATGCTTGCTTTTGAAAGATGAAGGTGCAGCATATACATATTGTGTATTTAGCTCCTCATGAGCACTTACAAGAATGGAACTATTTGCACATAAAACTCGATGTTCTTTGTTTTGTCACAAATTCCGATTCTCCGTTTTTGTTTTTCCCTGAGTCTTTCTCACAAAGGAAATCTATACAACCTGCAGTAGAATACCAATCCTACACACAGATGTTGTTTGAATGCTGAGAAGTGCAGCGCTGCCATGTGGGTTCTGGACACTCTTCAGCGAGAGCAGAAAGAAGAAACAATCGACGATGGATTATGACACAAAACAATAGTTTCTCTTAAATTAGTTGCTGTTTTGGCAGATAATTATTGTGTGTATAATAATAGAGATATTTGACACACAAGAATGGATTGGATCCTGAAAGAAGGCGAATGAATTCAACTGGAATCCTGTAAAGATGGATAGCTTGGTTTCATCGTTTTCTACGCATATGACACACAAAATGTTCTCATGTAAATATATCTGTTGTTGTCCACTCTCTTGTCTTGTCTTGTCCACAATAGCAATAGCAAGTACCCACAACAAAGGTGGGTGAGGCACAATATCAAGAAAAAAAGATAGGTGTCAATTCAACTAGAGAAGAGATGCAGAGTTGGACCAATGAAAAATGAAAAACAAAATGAGAAAAATAAATAAATAAATAAATAAAAACTGTTATCAGCTTAAGATTATTGCAACCAAAGTATAATGCAATAGAAAAGTTCATGAGGATTTGTAAATTTTGAATATAGAAAAATACATGAGAATTTGACAAAAAGATTAATGCCGGAGATGCTAATCTTGTCAATTATATTAGTCAATTCAACTCATACAGTACTGGTCACTTTGATATTGTACCACAATCAATTTATTTTCAAAATTTCAGAGATAAATGAAAACTTAGAAAAAGAAAAACTGGGTATGCAGTATTAAATATCTTAATTAACTTTCTTTCTTTTTATTTATTTATTTTTATAACCATAAGTATCCACTAACATGAAAACCAATCACCTCACATAACAATCTTATTTACAACATTTATCTCACTCAACTATCAAGTACAGTTATAAGCCTCTTTTAAGAACAAATCAAAAATAGTAACACTTTTTACTTGCATATTATCTTCAAACAATCACAAGGACACCAATAAATTTTGCAAAATAACTTGACACCACCATTTGTTGTTGTTGTTGTTGTTTGTTGATGCAAAGGAGCTTTCAAATGGAAAATCAACCCACTTGGAACAAACGAAATGTAGGTACAAGTTTTTATCACAAGCACTTTGTGTCCATGAGGAAAAAGGCATTCCTTTAAGAGAGCAAAAAAGAATTGGAGAATAAGGGCCCATTGCGACAATAAAGCTTCGGTTGGAATCCGTCCTCTCAACAAAAGGTGTGTATTCCATTACTGACCAATAATGAGGAGGTTCTAGACAAGAGGAGAAGCTTTGGTGGAAGGCATGTTTTGACCAGAATCCGCAAACCTGCTGCTCAGATTCTGTGGATTTGGGCGCCTTCACCCATTTTGCAATGATTTGCTCCACCTGCTGCTTGGCATCAAATTCCAGGCGGAAACATGCACATTATGCCAAAGGGGCTCTCTTTCAAATGGGTCCCATAACACCACCCATCTTGAGCAACATGACCATGCTTTCCAATTTTTGATTATAATTCTTTTCATATATATATATATATATATATATATATATATGTGTGTATGTATTTTTTATGTATAATTTTTTTTGTTCTAGAACTTGACACCATTTGTTCACAAAAGTTGTGGTTGCATGGAATGAGAGTACTTATGGGGAACAGGAATGGGAGTGGATTGGAGGAGAACCAAAGGAAACTAGGCTCCAAATGGTTGTTGTTCTCATTTAATGGCGAACAATTGTGAATGAATGATGTGACTGAAGGTACCCAAATGAGGTTTAATTCCAAGCCATGATTGGACCACAATTAATAACCTCACCTCTCCAAATGCTTGGTTCATTTGCTTTGCAGTGTTGGCATTTTGATATATATATATATATATATATATATATAAGTATGTATGTAGTTTTTTTTTAAAAAAGAAATTATTTTCGGCTTTTAGTGGTGTTTTTGATTTGTATCCATACCAAACACAAATGGTGCAGACATGATAGTTCATCCATCTTGTCTCTGGATGAAAAGCCAGCTCAGCAATGTTGTTGGAATCCTCTCCTTTCATCTTCTGTTTTAAAAGAATGGGAATCCTTAAAGTTGGTCTTCTGTGGACTTGGAATTAGTTTGAATTAGTGTTGATTTGACTTTATAGTGTTGATGTATGAAAAAATTAAGTGTTTGTAAAATGATTAATATTCTCCGTGAAGTTTAGAATTTGTTTTGGAATTGCTTGTGGTTTTAATCATAAAATTTGGATCTTTATAATATAACCCCAATTAATCTTGTAGTAAACTTTGAAAGTTCTAACATCAATGGTTTTGATTAAGGGTCCTTTTATACACAAAATATGTCAAATTTTTCGTTAAGAATTTAAATAGTAATTACAATAGAGGTAAATAACATTGTATATAATTGCAGTTTTGTTAGAATCTCAGTATGATTCATATAAGACTTTACTCAATTCAATATCAATTTATTGTTAGTTGAGATGACTATGTGCTAAGAAATATTTATGGTTTGATATGCAAGGAATAATATTGGTGAATATTTTATAACAGTGACAATTGTTCAAATCAACTTTGATAAAAATAGAAGTTTTCTTTTGTTATAACACAACTAATGAGATGCAATATATTTATTAGATTGTTGTTATCAAGAAACTTACAACAAAAGACTAATAAATTACAAGAAGTATAAACATCCAAAAACTATTCCAGAAAATTGTTACATCCATAACCTCATGCACAAGAATTACATGCATTACATAGAAAGGACTTTATCTTATGTATCCGCATTAAGAGGTATGTAACATATAATCAAAAGTGTGAGTATTAATATTGAGAAGCATAATTACAAGATAACATTGCCATAAGCACCAATAAAGATGAATATATAAGCATCCAATAGTAAATGAAATAATTTGGAGGCACTATATCCTTGTATAAACATACTACAATCTTCTGAAGGCAACAAGGTGCTTCAGGAGAAAGCTTTGCATCAATTCATTAGAAAGTGTTAAATTTGAAATACATGCAGAAAATAATAATTTAAATAATAGATTAAATAATAGAAGTGAACCATTATACAATCCAATAGAAAATACAATTTTTTACAAGAAGAAGAAGATGATATGCTTATCTATAAAAAAGTAAAAAATAAAAAAACTATATTTTGGCATTATGGATAGAAGGAAAATACAAGGGCTCTAAATTTTTCTTTTCTATTTAATAACAAATGACTAAGATGATAAGAGGCCAGTAATATGAGTAGTTATTGTATTTTATTTTGCCGTGTTCCTTGACTGCTACTACTACTCAATTATTTAAGGAGGGCAATGGAAGATAAGAAGAATATGCTTTTTTGTTGTGATAGTCAAACATGTTTTACAATCACTTTATAAAAAATGTGACTGAGTAAGAAGGTACTTACTAGTTTGATTTATTTTGGTAGTACAAAGTAAATTTAATTAATGTTATAATCTTTATATTCTATTTCTTTGGATAGCAAGATAAATATTTTTATGCCACTTGGTATAAAAATTTATTTATTTATTTGAATAAATTAGATGTTGGTGATTTTAGTTTTAATATATAGAATATTAAAGAGGTTGATGTGTTACGTAAATAGATTTTATGTGGGCCACATAATTAAATATTTCTAAAAACATTAATATCCAACTTAATAACATGGATGTCAAGTCTATATTGTATTGGATCAACATAGTTTGTTTAATCAAGAAGGTATCAACATCATTAATTTAAGCCCACAATATAGTCAACTATTTCAATACCCAAGTCTAAATATATTGGTATGAATATTTTAATTCTCAATCCTCAAACTTCTTTTATAATAACTTATTTGTAAACATATCAATCTAGTATTATATTTCTATAATATGTAGGTCCTTGCACAATAAAAGCTTGCAATTATTTTAGTTATTTTAACTTGTATTTTTTACTCTAGATTTAGGATTTTTCACATATAAAAAAATAATAAATTGACTAATAAAAAATATTAATTAAAAAATAAAGTACATAGTTTTTACATTAATAAGAAAAAATATAATTATGTGGTTGATAAATGCATTAATTTTTTTTATTTTTAAATATTTATAATATATGTATATATATATCATGTTAACATGTATCAACTTTTGATTGTTGTCTACCGAAAAATCATATTTTTTAGTTGTGATTTTAATTTTTTTTGTGAAGATAAAATTTATTACTCAAGCCACATTTTAATGTATTTTTAATTACAAGTTACTTATAACTAGTGGTGTGAAGTAAGAACCATAATTAATAAGAATTAAAAAGATTTTGATAATTTTTTTCAAATTTAAATTTATTATGGTAATCAAAACATTCAATGAGCCTAAAGACTTTGCAAAGCCATCAAGTCTTACTTTAGTTCTTCATTATGGCCTTCAAAAGTAATAAATAAATAAATAAATAAATTGTGAAAATCTTCAAAAAAATTCATAAAAATTACTAAAACTTTCTCAAATAATTTTAATTAAAATTAATTTTTTATTAATGATTTAGAAATATTTTATTAAACAAAAAGCTACTTTAGTGTAATTTAATAATAATTATAGCAAAAAATTCAATTTAAATCAATTAGTATCTTATTTCTTATATAAATTATTGAAAAGCCATGGTATTCTTTCTTTTACTTCTTCTACTTACTAACTATTATATATAAGTTTTAAATAAATATTACACATAGGTAAAAGACTATTTTTTTTAAAAAAAACTTAAGAACTAAATATAAATATTAGAAGAAGAAAAAAACCAAATTAAATGGGATAATTTCTTCTAAGAATTATTAAGAATTTATTTTTATAATTGTTACTTAACAAGATTCTTTTAACTTATATAATTTTTAAAATTCTAGTTCTAATTAGAAAATTAAATTAACATTATTT